ACAAGGAAGAAACAACCACCCTTTTGTCACTTCCGGTCGAGTGGAATGGCCAACACAAGTCCCACCTCGTCGCTCGCCACTAACGTGGTCAAGTCCAACTTAGGGAGTGAGCTGAAGAAGCCGCAAGAGAACCCACCATTTAAAGAGAGGTGCCCGGAGGAAAAAAGAAAAACGACAGACCCGTGTTTTGAGCCATGGCTTTACTTGCCAGATCTTGCTAATGCTCAGGGAATGACCGAGCCCGGGTGAAACCAACTGGGAAAAGTCACAATTCTTCATTCCAGCAAATGGAAGGTTTTTGACCAGTCTTTGTTTGTGTCACACCCGAATCAAATGGAAGCAAGGGTTGCACAGAATCGACCAAAAAAACCTCGCCTCGCGCGAAAAAGAGGAGAAAAAAACAAGAAGAGACGGCGCCGACAAAATCAATGCGAGGCGCGTAGTCCTGGTGGATGGCGGCCATCTGCCGAATGCGCGCCACGAGGCCGGGGAGAAAGGCGCTCTTCAGGCCAGAGCCTCGAAAGCGAGACGCACCCATCTGTCTGGCCGGCAGGGCGATGCAGCTTTTGGGAGTTGTTTTTTCTTCTTTTGTTTTTATCAACCCAAGCCAGGAAACTGGGCTGGCGCAAAGGGGTCGGTGGTTTCCCTCCACAAGGGGGGTCGAAAGCATTTTGAGAAGCAGTCAATTGGAGGGTCAAAAGCCGCGGTGCCCAAAGGGCCCAATGGATGGTTTGGATGTGAGTCAAAGGGGTACGCCCCCGCAGCTGGCATCCCTTGTCTTTCCATGCTGGACATATTATTGGCTTGGACAGAGGCAATATTTTCTGTGGATGGACGAAATCCTGCACCTAGGAAATGCTGGCATGATGATTCCCTTGTAAATACAAACAAACTTAACTTTGGTTTCAACCATGGTCTCTTAGGTGGTGCGGAATGGATTTCGTCCATCCGCAGTATTGATCTTCCAAACCTTCCATCTGTGCCTTCTTTTTGGCGAGCTCGATTTTGGCTGGCAGGAGTCACCAGGGGGCTCCACCAGAAAAAAATGCCACCTGGGGTTGCAACACCCGGTGACCTCAGTGTTTTTGTTTGGCGGGATGGCTCTAAGGAATACCCCGAAAGGCAGAGTATCTCTACGAGGGTTCTCGCGAACCCCCCCTCCTTGTAGGTGAAGATTAGATGAGAGAAACACATGGAGAAGAAAAGAGAAAAAGGAATGAGAGGGGAATAAACCGGATGCATCTATTCAGCACCGATTTGCTCATCCGTTGAAAACCACTTGCCCCTCAAGCTCTTCCTTTTGAAATGCTGTCTGGTTCTTGTGGAGGGTAACCCTCGGAACCCCGAGGAACACCTCCAAAACGCTGGGTCAAACCAGCAAAAAACATCTTCCGAATCGATCGGGGAATTGTGAGAATGCTTCAAAGCTTCGAACCAAAACCCAGTGGTTTCCTGGGAGACCCCCCCCCCCTCCCGGCTCGCTCACTCCCAAGACCTCTCACACTTCCAGCAGCAAATTCTTCGAAACGTGCCAACTGTTTGGGGTCGAGGCTGAAAAAAACATCAAAGGGAACGCCGCTCTAAGCCTTTTCAGTGGAAAGCCAAGCGCTCGGTAGAACCCGAGAGCCGCCTTTTGGCTTCCCCTAGGGGATTTCAGGGGTGGTTGGTGTGCACCTAGACCCTCATTCTAAGAGCGACCTTAGGCGCGGGCATTCAATGTCACCAACAGTCACGTTCGGCTGCTTGCTATGGTCTCTGAATCAGATGATAAAGAAACAGCCAGGTTCCTGAGAAGGATCAAGAACAGTTCACCACCAATCAAACTGGGACGCCGCAACTGCTGCCCACGGCCGATTTTTCGCAGGACTCCACCTTCAAACCCCGTCCCGCGTAGCTTCCGTAAAGCAAGCCTTGAAACATCTTTAACCAGGCCTTGTTAGGGTCTTGTTTTGGGAAACAGGGGGAGAGGTAGAGGGGTGGCTAGGTATCCAGAAAAACACTGTTTTAAACAATCAAACAGAAACTTGCTTTAGCAAAAATCCAAACTTGTTTAGCAATCAAACACATACTATTCACTCAGGGGGGGGGGGGGTTGGGGGGGCGCAGCCCCCCCAATTAGAAAACAAATGAAGACACGAATGGAGAAAGGCGCGATTACAAACAAAGGTCACAAAGCGTGAACAAAGGCCCTACAAAGAAGCGGGGCCACTAGAAAACAAATACAGACATCGATGAAGAAAGATTGAGTGCGTGCGTGCGTGCGTGCGTGAGTGAGGCAGCCAGCCAGCCAAAGACCAAGGGATCAAAAGGCCGGGACCAAACAACCAACGGACCGGAAGACCGAGAGACCATACGTCTACAAGCAGTGGTGATTGCTAAAACCAAGTTGTGCTTTGAAGGTCACCCCAGAAAAAGGAGGGGCTTCATTGCTGGAATTCTGGTACTTGGATGGTCTGGCAGAGTGAAATGATGAATACGGCTTTGCATGGGTACCCTTCCTCCCACTAACATGGCACCTGTGGAGGGACACCTTGCCAGGTGACGTGTGCGAGAGAGCTTCACCGGGGGGTCCCTGGTTTCTAACCTCTTGGTTGACTCGAAAATAGGTGGCCTTGCAACACGGCGGGACAAGCCACAGGTTTTTTTCCTGCATCAATCTGGGAACTGCTGGACGCATGGGGAAGCAAGCTGGAAATCCTTTTTGCGCACATCTCACCTCAATCCTGCTGCTGCCGTCAGCCGTTGGCCTGGTTGAATGAGGTTTGCCAAACACCCAATTCAACACACCGGCGAACGGGAGTTTCTAAGATGGTTTGCACTACCAAACCACTATCCCTTGGAACCCCATGGTTTATCAGAGAGGTGCTAGGGGGAAATCATCTATGGCTCCCAGACGGCACCGATGCAAATTTCTCGTGCTGCAGCACGAACGGGTGAAACACTCGTATGTGCGCGACCACGCGCAGCCCCCCCAACTGTTGGATGGTGTATGAGGGTACGCTTGAAAGCCAACAGCACTTTGGCGGCCTATAGCGCTTCGGGGGGGGCCAAGCTGGACATATCCATTCGGCTTGAGGCCCGGCAACTTTGATGCCGCGGAAATTCGCACCAAGCTGTGCTGAACTTGAATACCTCGCATGCGAAACCAGGGCGCGATCGAAATCCGGTGGCAACTGAAGGGTGGCGCTAGGCTTGGATCTTTCGATCTGAATGAGTCCCGATCCCTTGCACACGGTTCAAGTTTGAGTAGTTGTCATACATCGCAACTCAAAAAACTATTGGCTGGGAGCGCCCAATGAAGATGTGTGTTATTGTTTGCTGCACTGTCTGCCACAAACAACTTATGCAAACAACTAGGTACCGTAACTCTAGCACAGTCACCACAGAAGATCATTTCGTGTGTTCGTCACCAAAGCTCACTTCTTGAGTGGCCGTCTTTGGGCCCAAACAAGTTGCAACTGTGTCTGCACCACCAAAATGATCTTACCCAGTCCAACAACTTGAGTGATACCGAATTCAATGCGTAAAACAAGGAATCCGAATCCGGGGGGGGGTGGTTGTCACTGAGAAGCTGGGAAGAGCAAAGCCCAACTTGCTAATCTTTCTGGGAATGTCCTTTTTAGAGGGGATCCGTCTTTGTTGTGCTAGTAACTGGATGGAAACCAACCAGAGCACCTTCTTGCTGTTTTTTTTTTCAACAAAGACGCCCTATATGAGCTGAAGGATTGCGAAGCTGTTGCCTATGAATCGACTCGGCTTTAAGTACCACACTGCCTTTTTCTAATTATTCAAGTGGTGCCCTTTGAAGGGTTGGTTTAAAGGGAAACCAAAAGGAAAACTCAATGTAGGTGGCCCCAAATTTTCACACTACCTCCTTTTGCTCAAGTCCGCTGGACAAAATACAAATATATTCAGTGATAGATTCCCTTTAAATCCAGGAAATATACCACATAAAATCAAAACATATGGGGTTGTCTTTTTGAGGGGACCCCCCCCCTCAAAACAAAAAAACAAGAAAAGGAGTGGATGTCCTTTTAGTCTCGCTTTAAAACCCCACCAACAACGATACCCTCAAAAGGCCCATATGTGTATATATATATATACATATATATATATATATATACATATATGTTCCAGGCTGTGGACCCCCCCCCCCCCCCCCCCCCCCCTCCCCCCCCCCCCCCCAACCCCCCCCCCCCCCCGTGGTGGGGTGGTGGGGTGGTGGGGTGGTGGGGTGGTGGGGTGGTGGGGTGGTGGGGTGGTGGGGTGGTGGGGTGGTGGGGTGGTGGGGTGGTGGGGTGGTGGGGTGGTGGGGTGGTGGGGTGGTGGGGTGGTGGGGTGGTGGGTTGGTGGGGTGGTGGGGTGGTGGGGTGGTGGGGTGGTGGGGTGGTGGGGTGGTGGGGTGGTGGGGTGGTGGGGTGGTGGGGTGGTGGGGTGGTGGGGTGGTGGGGTGGTGGGGTGGTGGGGTGGTTGGGTGGCTGGGGTGTGGTTCGGAGTTGGTTTAGGCTTGGTGGGTTGGTTTAGGGTTGGTTCAGGGTTGGTTCAGGGTTGGTTTGCGGTGGGGTTGCAGGGTGGTTTGGTTTAGGGTAGGATGTTGCGAGAGGTGCGGGGGTGTTGGTTCACGGGGTGAAAGGGGGAGTCTGGGACCGAAGCTGCAGGGCTCACACGGTACTGGACAGCATCCCCAGCATTGCCAGCATCATCCCCAAGATGCGGATGATGCGGGGGAGTGGGGGGACCATACCATTGGGGGGGGGGGGTACGTGGCCCAGGGACTGGTACATATATATGGTACCCCCCCCCCCCCCCCAAAAAAAAAAAAAAAAAAACACAAACAATCAGGTTCAAAACCCGGGTTTTGGAGGGGGGGTTGCAGATATACATATATACATACATACATGTGTATATATATATATATCTAATGCATAACAAATTCCAAGCCACCTCCTCGCTGGTTTTGACAGCGCCCTTGGGGTGAGACGGTTCATCGCCCGGTCCCATCACATCTCCCGTCCTCGGCTTTGAGTCCGCGAGCCAACTGCGGGGGGCGGGTCTTTCGGGGCGGTCCTCCAGTGAGCTTGGAATAAGTATTTTGCGCCAGAGCCATTTTATAAGGGTAGAGAGGGTTAGAAGAAGGGAAAGAATAAGGGGGAAAGTAGAGAGGTCCTCCTTTTTTCTTCTGCAGTCTATGTTAGTAGGGGAACCCTCCCCCAAAAAAGGGGGTAAAAGGGAACTTCTGGGGGACCTGCCGCACGGTGGAATCGGGTGGAAAAGCTGCTTTGCCCCTGAGCAGAGGGGGCCCGAAACCCGTTGACTGGCTTATAGAGGCCCTGTTGCAAAACCTATGACACTAGACAGTTAATCCACCTATGGCCAATGGAGGTTGTGGCTCCAAGGAGTTTGGACAAATTAGACCAAGAGGATAAAACAACCGAGGTCACACACACACAATGAAGGTCCGGTACTTGTAATTTGCCCGGATTGTTTAGCAGACGGAGGTTAAAGTTAGGCCCCATCCTTACGTGGGAAACAACTGCAGAGCCACTTGCTATAGATGGAACCACCCTTACGGCCGTGACGAAGGGTCTTGCTTTGGCAACAGCGGGTGTCCTGTTCAAAACCGGCCCTAAGGGAAAGCTGGACACCATGATGTCGGCATGTGAGTGTGCAATATATATATATATATATATACACATATATATGAACAAATATATATATATATATATATATATATCATTGTACACATGACAAGACTGTATGTATGTCTGTCTGTCTGTCTGTCTGTCTGTCTGTATGTATGTATGTATGTATGTATGTATGTATGTATGTATGTATGTATGTGTGTGTGTGTGTGTCTGTCTGTCTGTATGTATGTATGTATGTCTGCATGCATGTATGTATGTATGGAGGCAGGCAGGCAGGCAGGCAGGCAGGCAGGCAGGCAGGCAGGCAGGCAGGCAGGCAGGCATGTATGTATGTATGTATGTATGTATGTATGTATGTATGTATGTATGTATGTATGTGTGTGTGTGTGTCTGTGTGTGTGTGTGTGTTAGCTTTGCTCTATTGTGTTATGTAATGTAATGTAATGTAATGTGATGCAATGCAATGCCATGCAATGTAGTGTAATGTATGTACGTATGTTACATATGTATGTATGCATGCATGCATGTACGTCTTGCATGGAGTCCCTTTGAAAATCGCCAGGCAAGGGATACCAAACTCAAAAAGAGACACACCCAAATGCGGGTTTCTTTTTCCTTTTGCTTTTTTTCTCGTCTCAGTGGCAACCACTTTGTGGTTTCGTTTCCACCGAAAATCGTTAATTTCTCCCCCCCCCCGGTTCCGTTGTTTCTGGGCAATGGATTCGGCATCACTCAAGTTGCTGGACTGGGTAAGATCATGACCCAACTACAAAGCAAAACCAACCAAGGAACCAAACAGCTGGTTGAATTGCCAAGAAAAGGGGCAACCCCAACAAGAAAACCAAACCCCAACAACAAACTCAACAAACAAATGACACCAAACTCTACCAAAACACCTTTTTGTGCTTCACAAAAAATACACAATAAAATAAAAACAGTATTCCCAGTAGTGAAATCGACTCCTTTTAAGACCAACCGGGGGAAATAAGTGAAACATAAATGGAAGAAACGGGTACCAACAACTATTCCACGCCTCCCCCACCTACCCCCTGCACTCTAGGCCGAAGGTCTCGGCAGCTCGCGGTGCCTGGGCGGCTCCCGGTCCTTGCCCAAGGTAGCCGCTTCGTCCCCCAGCTCCCCGTCGCCCTCCTCCTGAGCGCCGAGCGCTGGGTGGGGGCAGGGGAGAGGGGCGGGTGGTGGGGGGGGGGGAGGGATGGGAAGGATGGGGGAGGGATGGGAGGGATGGGGGAGGGATGGGGGAGGGATGGGGGAGGGATGGGAGGGATGGGGGAGGGATGGGGGGGAGAAATGGGACTTTGTGGTCCAAAACGTGTTGCTTACCTACTACAGACCAACTTGAGATGGTTAAAGCTCCAAGTGAGCAAGGTGATTTGTTGACACCAAATGGTGGGGGGAGGGTTGGGGACTTGGGACTCGGGGGCTTGGGCACCTCCTTGCTCTGCCGTTTGTGTTTGGGGTGCAGGAAAAATATCGCAACCACTCAGGTTCCATGTTGGGTCCCCAAACACACCTCTTCTAAACGGTGTCTTGTCTTAGCGGTCACATTTCAAAGCAAGACTTAGGAATTCTAACCCAGGAGTGGTAGTTTTGGATTGTTTCTCCGATTGTTCGGATTCCGGGCCCATTGAATCAGAACTAAGGCTATTTGAACATTTGATGCTGACAATGTTGTCGGACAAAAAACCACAACTGCCTGGGATGTCCTAGATCCCTTCCGTTTTGGGGGGTCATCCTTGAGGGTGTCACCCCGAATCGACGCCGTGGGGAAGAGTGGTGGAATTTGGGCTTGCCCAAACCCCGCCCCATTTTGCGCACTGCGAGGTGTGTGTGGGGGTCACAGGACCAGTTCTGTGAGTGAAACGTGATTCGAGACACAACATGGAACCCATCACTTTAGGAGTTCCCCATTGACATAACCCTTGTTTATACCACCCCGACCAATTCTTTCCCACACTTGGTATAGTAGCAAACAACTTTGTTTTTTGCAGCCCCCTGCTAAAGATGAACAGAACAACAAACTAAAATCCTAAAAGCCTTCCAACAAGAGTGCAGGACACCTGTTTCTAGCACTGACCAACCTCACGCTCCCTCCGTCCCACGCTCACGCGAAACGCTCGCGAACGAGCCCGTCCTTCAGCCGCATGGATCGCACCGTGGGGCGCCCACGCATGGTCTTCCGAACCACTGCCTACATGGAACTTGCGATCGGTGCGAGAGATGCAGCCCTGAGACATGGCACCCCGAGAGATACCCATCCTCTTGGCTTTCTTTTCGGGGACCAAAGCCTGGGTTCATTCCCTCGTGCTAAGCATCAACATAAGCCTGGGTTAAGAATAGCCCCAAAAATTGGTCGCTTTGCCCGTGCTTGCGGTGCCCAACAAACTGAACCGGAGAGGGATGGCAAGTTTTCGGCCAAAAAAGAGCTTTGATGCTCCCAGCCTCCCAAGTCCTGTACCCAAAATGGGTTGCCCTGGAAAATGGGAAGGATTAAAGTCTGCAGTCCAAACCCTTGACTCATTCAAGAACTACCCGGTTTTTTAAGGGCATCCTCAGCCGGTAAAGTTGATGTGTCGAATCCTTTCAGGGGCCTTGAAAAAAAGGAAGGCCCTTGCCTGTTGGGACACGGGATGAATATTTTGTTGAAGCAAAGGGGAGAGAGAAGCATCACAAAGCCATAGTTGCCAAAGGGAAACAAGGGTCAAAGGGTTATTCATGAAGTAAGTGCAAGGCGAGCACTCCGAAAGGCGTCTTCATGGGAAATCAAACTGCCAAAATCAAACCATTTCTTGGGCGCATGTTGACCCCACCCTGTGATATCCCAGCGTCACTTAAATAAAAGGGGGGTTGGTAGCACAAGAAACCTCATGGCCTCACTTTCAACATGAATGACAACATGGTTGTGGAGCATCACGGTATTTTCTGTGCCAGGCCATTTCCATGAATAAATTAGCGTGTCTGTTTCCAGAGTAGCCCCCGCCCCCCCCCACCTCCCCCCCCCGGCAAAAACAAAAAAATCACGGGAAAATAACAACATGTAGTTTCCTTTGGGGTTTTCCGTCTACTCCCTTGGTGTCACGGAAATGAGTCCGGAAAGCCAAAATTGCATTCGACGAACCGTCCTGCGAATCGAAGAAGGACACCATCCGCATCTCTGGCAGGTCGTGGTTGATGGGACGCGTCTTGTTCATCACCTCGGTCCTCGCGGAACATGGGTCCAAGTAGCTTCTGAAGCTGTACTTGGGCCAACAGGAGGGGGGCAAACTGATCGATCCTCAGGTTCCCCGTTGACCCCCCCACAGGACCAAGTTTTCAACTTCCAAAACCCAGCGGGCTTGGAACCACCAATTCGGGGTGACCTGACTTTAGGGTATAACGAACAAACTCTTTATTTATTTATCTTAAACAATAAAAAAACACAAAAACATTAAAAAAAAAAAAAAAAAAAAAAAAACGTGGGTGTCTTCCTTTGGGGACCCCTAAAACTGGTGAGTGGTTCCTTTTGATTTCTCTTACACCCAACCGAAAAAGGTTGGTACCCAACATGTGAAGCTCGGAATCCGGACCGACTCCGTGGTTCACTCTTGTCAACAGATCTGGTTCAGGCGGTTTCTGACATCCACCGTTCGATGGGCACCGAGCCTCAAAACACGACCGGGCCCCATTTACGAAATCTGGGTTTGTGTCAAAGGGGAACCCTTAGAATCTGGTCCTTTTGAATTCCCCGAGAAAACAACGTCACGGGGGGGTCCCTAAAGCACAAGCTGGTGGCTGAACTGAGCTCCCCGCATGGGCAAATCCGCAGCTCCGGCGACCAGCGAAGGCACCGTCTGGGTCTTCTCGAGCATAAGAATCATCAGGCATTCGTTCATGCCTGCAGTCCGGATGCCGTTCTAAGGTCTGACTCAAATGAACATACCCCACCAAGTCTTTTTTGGGGACCGCCCAACATGGCTTCGGTGTTCCTTTTAGTTTCCCTTTAAAACCCTCAACAGGAGTACCCGCACCCCCCCCCCAACACAAAAACTTTGAAAGAAAGAAAAAGAAGAAAAAGACAAAAGAAAGAACAAACGAGACGCACTCACATCATATCTTGGTTCCTGCCGACCCCTCTGCAAAACTCTCTAACTTGTGGGTCCAGTTCGGAAAATCCGACCAGAGTGTCCACCAAAAAGTAAAGGTGCAAAGATCCGTTCCCACATGGGTGTGGCTCAAAATGAAAGAGCTAGGGCGACGCAGGTGCTAGTGTTTGGCTCCATTTACCAAGGTGCCATTTGGGTACCAATTTTTGAGCCACAGCCAAACAAGCCTAAAGACTCCTTGAGCCTGGGGAAGCCGTTTGGAATCAGAATTACCCCCTTTGATCTTGGTTGACGTTGGAAGGGGAGCAAGCATTTATATTTTTGGCAGTTAAGTGGTTGGATTTCCTAAACCCTAAACCACCACAAGCAACAATGGGAAAAATGTCGCCAACAACAACCATGTGATGTTGAAATTCTCTTGGGGGTGTCCCAAAAAGGAAGCCACGTCACAGCATCGTTTTTCTCTTGGAGGTGCCCTGCAGGGTCCGGACTTGTGACCAGTCCCCATGTAGCCGGACCTCTGAAAGAGGCTCGCTTCCGATCGAGATGTGCCACCAAAAAACGCAAAACCCAAGCTTTTTGGCTGCCAATACAGACCAAAAGAAGTTTGGGTCACCACTGAAAACCCCCAACTTTTGGGGCCTTCCAAAGTTCCAAGCCCAGGAACTCAGGCGAAGGGATCGATTCCAGCGACGAAGGAATCAAAACCTTGTGGGTTTAGGGGGACCGCAAGCCTTGGGGTTCGTTCTATCTGGGTGTCGAAGGGGGGGGAACCGCAATCCTTTTGGTCCCTAACTTAGCGGGACTGGAGAGTTCCAATCCCCAAGGGAACGTGAGTGCAAGGGGTGTTTTCTTAAGGCACCCATGTTCGTTTTGACAGGGACAGGGCAGGGGTCCGTTTTTTGCGCCTTTAAACATGACGTTGGCGCAAAAGGTGATGTCTGAAACCACAGACTATGGAATAGAGTCAGAAATGACTATTTCTGGACGCGCGATGTGCGATGAATGAACAGGTTGCACTGTTTGATTGTTGGCTTCCCCTGACAGCGAGGACAGCCCTGAACATGTGGATGGGGTCCAATTTAAACAGGGATCCTTACATTATACACCTGAACATTGCCTTTTCAATGGGAGTTTCCCCTTATTCTGGTGGAACAAGGCATGTTTCAAATGGGCAAAATGTATCTTTTAAGGAGCCCTGTTAAACCTCTCACCTATGAAACTCATGACATGGTCACTGGCTCGATTGGAAGCTAGTGTTCATAAAACCAGTGGTTCATGATTTTCCGACCCTTGGCATGTTACCAGGCAACAGTCTTCCCTCCGCACATAGGCACAACCAGCAAAACACACAACTTAAACACACAACTTCAGAACACAACTTAAGCGCACAACTTAAACAAACAACTTGAGCATACAGCTTAAACATGCAACAGCATACAAGAACGCACAACAACACCACACAGACACAAAAACAAACAAACAAACAAACAAACAAACAAACAAACAAACAAACAAACAAACAAACAAACAAACAAACAAACAAACAAACAAACAAACAAACAAATAAACACAAACACAAACTCAAACACAAACACAAACACAAACACAAACACAAGACACATACACACACAGACACAGACACAGACACAGGCACAGGCACAGGCACAGACACACACACACACAGACACAGACAAAGACACAGACACAGACACAGAAACACACACACACAGACAGACACAGACACAGACACAGACACAGACACAGACACAGACACAGACACAGACACAGACACAGACACAGACACACACACAGACACAGACACACAGACACAGACACAGACACAGACACAGACACAGACACAGACACAGACACAGACACAGACACAGACACAGACACAGACACAGACACAGACACAGACACAGACACAGACACAGACACACACACACACACACACACACACACGCGCAGACAGACACACACACACAGACACACACACACACAGACACACACACACAGACACAGACACAGACACAGACACACACACAGAAACACACACACACAGACACACACACACACAGACACACAGACACAGACACAGACACAGACACAGACACAGACACACACACAGACACAGACACAGACAGACACACAGACACAGACACAGACAGACACACAGACACAGACACAGACACAGACACAGACACAGACACAGA